GAAGGGTAACAAAGAAACACCCTGAAATTCCACTTGAGGCAGCACACCCTTTCCAGATAGGGGACAAGGTGCTAATGAAAGATATAAAACCCCAGAAAGATTTAACTGACCCCAAATACGAAGGGCCAGCTGAGGTTCTGGCTGTTACACGCACTGCTGTATTAACTGATCTTTTTCCACAGTGGATCCATGGCACCAGAGTGAAACCATTGAAGTAAATGTCTATGATATGATATTAATAGTTTTTGTTTTGCAGACTACTTCTACTGATAACCCTACTGGGACTGACACAGGCCCACACTGAAGTACACAACTTATTCTGGCAGTATGCTAACTGGACTGCACGGAAGACAACCAATGAGTCATGTGTTGTCTGCCAAGAAGTGTTCTCCTCTGCTGTGACTATATCCTTGAAACCTTTGCCTTTTACATGTACTAAACTTGCTTTTTGTACAAATGCTTTGGGAGATATTTATGAGTGGCGCCCCACATGTGTTTCTAACAAGAAAACATGGGAGCCTCTTTGCAAATCAACTAGCAGAAAGAATCATTCTGTTGTAATACCTACACCTAGAACTATGGGTTTGAATATTTTGTTGACGAAACCCCAGGGGTTCACTTTTTCTTTTTGCTTTAATGGGACAAATGGAGGTAATGTATCCACTTTAAGAGCTAAAGATTGTAATATAGTAATTGGCGAAAGGGATCGATTTTCAGGGGTATATTTACCGTGGCGAAAGAATAAAAAATATAGTTCTCTACTAAGTGTTTGTCCACGTTACATCCCAGGCACCTGTGAACTGAACAAACTTAAATGTGCTAATATCACAAATGAGACAGCTGTCACGGCATGTTACAACCTGAACAACACATACTGTCAACGCAGCAACGTAACTTGTGTCCCCACTTGGCCGAGACAGGATGCGGTCCTGGCCGATGACTGGTACTGGTATTGTGGGGGAGAAACCATCTTCAACACTTACCCCACCAATTGGACTGGTCTTTGTACTGTGATCCAATTACAACACATGGTCACTGTCATGCATCTTGCCAGACAATTCAAAAGGGAACGGAGGTCAGTTCCCCAGGACGACGTACCCGACGAACACCGTATGAGATCACACTGGACTAGATTCTGGGAGGCTATGATTCCCAGTTTTGGCGTGGCAGATGCCTTAAAAGAGCAAGAGATTATGCATTATAGACTGGCCTCTTTTATTAACAGTACCACGGATGCCATTTCTGGACTAAGAGAGGAGCTCTGAGACTAATGACTATGCAAAACAGACTGGCTCTGGACATGCTCTTAGCGGAAAGAGGCGGGGTCTGCTCCCTGGTCGGAGAGAGCCAATGCTGCACTTACGTTCCCGCGGATGATGAGGATCTTGGACGAGTAGGACAAGCTGTAAAGGGCGATGAAAAGGATATCATCACAGGTGTATGAGGATGAGATGAAGGAAAGAAATTTTAATTGGGGATTGGGATTTTTAGTAAGCCTGTTTGGATCATTGGCTCCATATGTCTCAATGGTAGTACCGGTACTTATTATTTTCTTATGTGTATGTATTTTTGGTCCATGTCTTCTGAGATGTTTTATGGAAAGAATGTATAGGATGGTTAATGCCTTAGGTAAAGGGTTATGAACATTTAGCTATGAATGGAACTGAGGGTAACCATTTAACAAATAGAGTTTATGAGAATATGGTATGATCCAGGCTCTTGTAAGAAACTGAGCCTGGAAGAGGGGATTGAAAGAAATATCCATGTAGTCACTCTCCAAATATTCTGTTTTGTAACTGTGTCTTATCTTATTGTAAGTTGTCCCTGTACTAGGCGCCTTGACGTTGCGCCATGACATTCTTGAGCACTGGATAAAATTGTTCTGCCTAACTGAGCTGAATATTTGCACGTATTCATAACCCATGTAACCCTGAGTATGATGTATAAAAGCTGGGAATACCCCAGTCTTCTTTAGAAGAGAGCAATAAACTGTTGGATTCACATCTCTCAGTTGTTGTTGCCTTCCTGGAGCTCCAGCTTACTGAGGAAGCACACAGACGGTCTGCAATTTATCCCAACAATAATATAAATAGCAAACTTCTAAACTTAAAAATTTAAACGTGTTAGATGACCAAACAAATAAGCTTACTTTAAATATGTCATCATGCTAGATGTCATGCTATTTAAGTGTCACATATGCTTGTCAAGATTTTTTTTTAAGTTAACAGGCTTGAATACAATTAGATAATAAATAACAATGTGCCAACACCACATTTTAATTAATATTATGTAAGTTATCAAAACTGGCATTCAAACTTGACAAACCGCTTGACACTCATTTAAAATAAAGACTATCAAATCAAATAAAAAATCAAATCACTTTTATTGTCACATTATCAGCAGCACGTGTGCTATGATGAGTGAAAAGCTTAGACTATTCTAACATGACTATTCCTTACTACCAACGTTTGCAACTTTATTTTGGGGGAGTTAATATATACCAAGTATACAATTTCACAGGAATGCAAAACAAACTATACATTTATCTGTCTATAATGAAAAGACTCAGGGAACATGGCAATTTCATAGCAATACTATACACAAACACAACATAGTATTACAAGAGAGTACATTTATGATTCAAATGTTGTCACAGCCTCAGTATAAATACATAAAAAGTAAAAAAAATCTCACCTGTGTGTCCACATTGGGGAAAGCTTTGTGCACGTTCTCAATTTGTACTGTAATCTTCATCTATTGATTCCCATAATATGGCGCCGAGCTGAGAGTGATCGTTGTGGTTTGAATCTTGTTACTTCCTGTGTTGTTTTGAAACTGCGCATGTGCAGATATTACTCCACCTATTGACCAAAATGCAGTACTGCAGAAGCAACACAACTCCCTTGCATTCATGTTACATAAGCGAGCTGTTTAAATGTGAAAACTTACTTTTTCTCATTTTTTTCCAACACAACACTTTTATTTTTAATACACAAACATGAGCGAATTGTTTAATTTAAACATAGTTACATTCTTTGGACCAACTAAAGCCATAATTCATTTTTTTGAGTGAAGGTTGGAAACAAATAAAGGTTAAGAGAAAGATTTTTCATTCATTTATTCATTTTCTTGTCGGCTTAGTCCCTTTATTAATCCGGGGTCGCCACAGCGGAATGAACCACCAACTTATCCAGCACGTTTTTACACAGCAGATGCCCTTCCAGCCGCATCCCATCCCTGGGAAACATCCACACAGACAATTTAGCTTACCCAATACACCTGTACCGCATGTCTTTGGACCGTGGGGGAAACCGGAGCACCCGGAGGAAACCCACGCGAACGCAGGGAGAACATGCAAACTCCACACAGAAACGCCAACTGAGCCGAGGTTCGAACCAGCGATCTTCTTGCTGTGAGGCGACAGCACTACCTACTGCTCCACTGCGTCACCCATGCTATGAAGTTTGCACACTAAACTCGTTTTTAGCTATATGGAATGGTAACTATTCGTCATATAACTGTCATGTTTCCTATTATTATTTTTTTTAAGGTGTTGCAAATACTTGTTGCAGTTTTTCTCAGTCGCTTCGGTGCATTTCTCAGATCAGAATTGAAATTCTCAAAACTCCCTGTTCAATCTTCACATCATCGTGTCACTTGTGCACATCAGAAAAGCAGTTTCTCATTCTTTCAAACAAGTTGCAAATGATTACCTGCAACTCTCGGATATTTCCCAAATGATCAATTCCTCATGTTAATCAAAATGTATTATTTTGGTCTCTGTTGAATAGTCTGACCACAACATTCAATCATTTGATCATGACTAGGCCAACACAGAATCTGTGTGCGCAGAATTCAGCAAATCTTTAGTCCGTCATTGAGTCTGTTCGATTATTTCTGTAAATGTGTGCAAATTTATATTCATTCAGTTTTTTCATTTATTTCAGTAATATTATTGACTAATATTAAAATGTTCATATGATTTATTTAAAATATAGTTTGTAAATTAATATCATCTGTCTTTTAGTCGATATATCATAAGAGAGACTTGCTTTGTTTACCAAATGAAGTGGATCTAATTGGATTTGCATTGTAAACATTAAATAAAATTCTAAAATGTATTATTTTTTATTTGACATATTAAGGTTTTAGTTTTGATACTCCCCGAATCATTCCACATAAATCCACAGATTTTAAACAAAATTCTGCGCAGAAATAGCAAAGAATCCGTCTAGCCCTAATCATGGCATAACATTTTACATGCAAAACGGCTGAACAACTTGGCATATTTTGTCATAATGCATTTTTCTATACATTTCCATTAGACATTTTTTTTTTCTAAATCTAATTGGTAAATTTTCCCAGACATGCTCAATAATGTTCATATCTGGTGACTGGGCTGGCCAATCCTGGAGCACCTTGACCCTCTTTGTTTAGAAGAACTTTGGTGTTGAGGCTAAAGTATGAGAAGGAGCACTATCCTGCTGAAGAATTTGCCCTCTCCTGTGGTCACAAGGACTTGTCATTCTGACGGCAGACTTGTTCATTGACAGAAATTTAGTTTTGAGAGATGAGGTTTTAAGGTTTTAAGGTTTTTGAGCAAGACACTGGCTTTTGCAGGTCATCAGGTTGTTTGCTATTTGAACGTGTTGTTTTGAGGAATGCACTTACTGTTTTGAAAATTTATATTTTGATCTGAGAAATGCAGCAGCTTTGTCATTGATGGGTTGCAGCTGGAAGGGCATCAGCTGTCTAAAACATATGCTGGATAAGTTGACGGTTCATTCCGCTGTGGTGACCCCAGATTAACAAAGGGACTATGCCGAAAGGAAAACGAATGAATAAAATGTACCAAAGCGACTGAGAAAAACTAAACCACTGAGGAAGTGTGTTATGGATTTAGTCCACCATGTGGCGCCAAACAGGTGCCAGACATCCGACAATCAATGGGCGGAGCCCGATGACTACAGCCAATCACAGTTCTGTGTGGGCGATCGTAGCTCATTGTGGGTGTGGTGTTCAACAAAGGTTGATTGAGAGATCGCATCACCGTTGAAGCTTCTGGCAGGACGCGGTGTCTCATATAGCATTTAACGAACATCGCAAATCGTGGTTTGGCTTGTTTTGTACTGGATATTTCTTATGAGATCGGGTCGGGACGTTTCGCTGAACAACAACAGGGTAGAAGGTAAGAAGTGTTGAACTTGGGGCTGTTGATCATGCCTGTCTGACATATTTCAGGGTCCTCCGACAGGTAGTCAACTCTTGTTTATTTTACAGACCCCAATTGTGTGCGTGTGTGTTTTCAATTTGTTTAATATATTGTTTTAACAAATCACCCCTCCTCCGTTCTACATTTCCTCTGCAGTATTTGTGAGTGTCCCTTAGTGATTCATTTTCTAAGTAATAAGGTTACATGCATATTTAAACAGCGATCTGTCTAACTCCGTCAGTCTCTGCGGTCTGCACAATAAAAGCTGAGCAATACCTGCTGCTCTATTACTGTTTCATTAATTTCATGTCTCTCCCAGTAACGGCAGGCATGAGGATTGCACGTCTTTCTCTTGAAATGCATCAGTTCCGCTGGGCTGCCTCGTGACTCCAGCAGCGACCGAGAGGAGGAGGAGGAGGTGGTGGTGGAGGAGGAGGACTGGACCGCGGTGAAGACAACAGATGATCCGGGCCCCCGTCACCTCCTGTCCGCTCCTCTGAAGCGCGTCTGCTCGCCGGGATCAGGAGCACTAGAGGCGGCCGCACGGAGAGGCGTTGAAATGAGATGAGGCTCAGACATGGAACTGTTGCCACTGCGATTGTTTTCTTCACATCGTTTCTCAGTCTGTCCTGGTACACGGCTTGGCAAAATGGCAAAGGTGAGTCTCATCTGTGAGATCAGCTGTCAAATTGGGGTAAAGTTGGTTTTATTTTTCCGACATTCAGACTTTCTCCTTAATTTACTTTCATACAAGTTTTTTTTGCTCATATAAATAGTGAAATCATATTAGCAGCCAGTGACTATCAAAGTACACCATTGTTCACACTAAAATAGTCAAATAGTATTGAGGTAAAGTTGGTTTTATTTTCTGACTTAAATTCATTTAAAAATATGTAATATGAAAATATATTGTTTACTTTACTTTTTGTATTTGGTCTGTAATAGCATGCAAAGTATGACTTCAAAACAACATTAGCACTACTTCATTCAATTCACCTTTATTTCTAAAGCGCTTTTACAATGTAGATTGTGTCAAAGCAGCTTCACATGTTTACTATGATCTTCTATGTGAAGCTTCTTTGACACAATCTACATTGTAAAAGCATTTTAGAAATAAAGGTGAATTGAATTCAACATAGAAGATCATAGTAAACTGAAACGGTGTAGTTCAGTTTTCAGAGTTTAAGGGTGCTTTCACACATGTGAATCGATTCAGTTGTTCCGAAACAGCGATTAAAATTGTTACATTGTTGCTCTTTGCTCTTGGAGCGGTTCGCTTTCACACTACAAAGTTTCTAATCGGACCAAAAGAGCTAAAACAAGTCACGTGCGAGTAAACTCTCCTTACATTGGTCAGTGTCAGGGTTTATTTTGCAGCGTCCCGCTCAGCTGTCAGGAGAGGTGGTGGTTTGGTGGTGATTGACAGGGTGTGCGCGCGTGACGTGTCTGAGGAGAGACGCGGTGGGGAGGGGTGAGAAGGGTGCACGACGATGCCTATTTGAGGACTGGGAGGGAGACGCGAGATTACCGAGAGATCATCACTCGTTTGCGGGCATCCGGAGACTCGCGAAACTTCCCGCCATACTCATAATTCTCTCTTCATATAGCCGTAAGCCTATTACATATCCATAAAACACTGTGATATAATTGTGCTCGGATCGGATCGCTTTCTCACTGCAATCGAACCGCTCCAGGGTTCGTTTCAATCGAGCCGAGACCACCTCATTCAAGCGATCTCGGAGCGATTACTTTGGCGCGGAACAGAGCGCGATTGCCCTGTTCACATATGCCAATCGAACCCCGCTAACTGGGCAAACGAGATACAATCCGAAACAAAAGTGTAGGTGTGAAAGCACCCTTAGTTCAGTTCAGTTTAGCTCAGTTCAGTGTGGTTTAATATTCACTACTGAGAGTCCAAACACTGAGGAGCAAATCCATCGATGCGCAGCTCTACGGGTCCCGGACCATGCAAGCCAGTGGCGAGGAAAAAACTTCACCAATTGGTGAACATGAAGAATTAAAAAACCTCGAGAGAAACCAGGCTCAGTTGGGCACGACCACTTCCCCTATGGTCAAATGTCTTGTGCAGAGCTGCAGTCTAGGCGCTGAAGGCCGGAGAATGCTAGAAAATTGCTGAAAATTAAATGTTTATGTGCATAAACCCCATTGACTTTATGACAGGTCACCCCAAAACTCACCATTTACTCACACTCAAATGATTAAAAACTTTTATGGATTTCTTTGTCTGTTCGAAATGATATATTCTGAAGGATGTTGAAAACCTGCAGCGGTTGACATTAATAATAGGAACAAAAATACTTTGGAAGAAGGCTGCTGCTTTATAACATTCCTCAAAATATCTTGTTTTGTGTTCAATAAAAGTGAGAAACTCAACCAGGCTTGGAACAAGTGGAGTGTTTGTAAATGATGACTGATGAATGATGTTTTTTTTTTTTTGTTTTTTTACACTGGTTAAGCTTTGATTAAATTCCATGACCACTAGGCATTGGCCGGTATAAGATTCTGATGGTACGATAACCTTGGATAAAAATGTCACAGTTTGGCTGTATTGTAATGATTACTGCGCTAAAATATCTTCTTTTTAAATGTCTGAATAAAAAAAAAACAACAACTTTTTTCCCATTTAAACACAGTATTTTATTTTGAGAAAGATTTATAATATTTTGGAACAGTCAACATGTCAGGCTAAATGAATTATTGACTTCTGCTGTCTTTATTTCTTTCGAAAACAGATTTTTTTGAAACAATTTAAAACGGCATCTTGGGATATCTTTTCTGCTGGAGATACTTAAAAAAAAAAAAAAAAAAAGTAAATTAAAAACAATGTTTATAAAAAAATCTTTCACATACCTTAGAAACGGTATTGCAGAAAATGTTGACGACCTTAAAACCTTGACTTAACCAAACCACGGTATACCTTGAAAACGGTTATTGTCCCATGCAGTGACCACTGCAGTGGCTAAGCGGACAAGCCCGCAGGGCACGCACCGCAGGGGGGCCCCCGCGTGATTAGGGGGCCCCACGTTGTCGCAATTTTTAATAATTGAAAATCCGGCAACCGCAATAATCAAACTCTTGGGAACAACTGTGGTCGGAACCAAAGTTCACAGGTGTGTGTTCTCTGAACTCCTCTCAAGCAGTGGACTACTTTATTCTGATGAACCGCGTCATAGCTCATACCATAAAGTTGACTTTATTTCAACTCTCCTTGACGCCCACACAGGAGAAGTCGCGCCACGCTGTTCCTCGCCGCCAGTTCTCGTTAAAAATGAATGACTTCTGGCTACTTTGACGCCCTCGCTGCTTTCGGTTTGTGATCGCTCCTCAGTTTGTGATCGCTCCTTAGTTTGTGATCGCTCCTCAGTTTGTGATGGCTTCCCCGCGTTGTCGCTCCACCCCGCCTCCCTTCCCCGCTCCTCAGTTTGTGATAACTCCTCAGTTTGTGATAACTCCTCAGTTTGTGATCACTCCTTAGTTTGTGATCGCTCCTCAGTTTGTGATCGCTCCTCAGTTTGTGATGGCTTCCCAGTGTTGCCCCTCCCTCAACTGGGGGCCCCGTCAGTGATCCCTGCATGGGGGCCTCCGCATTTTGCGCTACGCCACTGGACCACTGGTATAAAAGTTGGCATTGGATGCCCATTTTATACAGGTTAATATGATTCTTTTCTTAATGAAAAGTCTTTTGTTTATGTTGTCTAAATTTCTCAATAGTGAAAATAAATACAACTTTATTACTTCTTTTTAACACCTCAGTCCACATAGTGAGCTGTTTTGCATCATATTTTTTTAAATGCACATGAGGAATGTAAAGAACTAGCTGGTCACATCTAAACCAGCTGAAATTTTACGGCACTCGGACAGAAAAATAAAATATCACAATAGCCTGTATCGAGAAAGGACTGACAGAAATTTCCTTGCTCTCCACTTAAATTATTCTTTTATAACTCCTTTCCCTCTTTGGGTTTTTCCATTTGCCATTTAATGAGAGAAACCCACTCCAAGCGAGCATAGAGAAAATGAAATGAAACTCTTGCTGTGTAAGAAAAGTGCTTCCTCTGATAGTGGGCTCATTTTAAATTAAGTTGAGGCCCATTGAAAAGTATGTGATGAATGTCATCTGGTGGACATATACTGCATTCAGCATGTTATCAATATCACATGACCTACCAGCGTCAGCCGTGTCCCTCCACTTACATTCACAAATCTTCTCCAATTGTGGCCTCATGGAAAGTGTGTGCATCAGATTTGCACACTTCACAATCTCGGAAGAAGTTGTAGTTCATCTTGGTGCTTTATTTTTACTTACTCTACATATGGATGAATATGGCTACTGTTTAGCCTAATTCATATTAAGAAATTAAGCAAATTCCGCATACTATCTTAATTATTTACTGTATGTGGTCGCCACTCCTTTTGCTCCATTGATATCATCTGCATGCAGTAAACAGGAAATGTGTGCTGCTCATTAGAAGGTTATTTAAAAAAATAATCACTATATTCTATAGCTCAAGTTTGGGAAACTCAATGAATTTCTATCTCATTAAAGATGTGAGACTGATGGAAAAATCTCAGAATGGACTATCAGTTAAGCGAAGGCAAAATAGTCTGATTCTCGTGGATTTCTAGAGCTGCAGTTAAAGGAAGTGGATTGTATATGTTTTGGATGGCATCTTATAAAACATCTGTTCAATTTGATTTGATAGAAATCTGAGTTGTTTGATTTAAATTGGGCCATAGTATGGGCAATTTATTCATCTACATAATTGGACACAGGGATTGACTGTGACTTTTACTCAACAATGTTCTTTTTAGTTGTTTTCAGCCTAGCATACTCCTTTTACTGTTCTGACTATAAATGTGCCATAAAAGTATTTGAATAAGTGGATAAACTGTAAAAAATATCCATTATTTTAAGTTTTTTTCCAGCAGCTAGGGTGATTTTAGTAAAATATACTGTGAAATAACAGACATTAATTTACAGAAATTGACGTTAAATACCAAATGTTAAATTACAGAAATTACCGTAAAATAACGACCATTAAATTACAGAAATTGACTGTAAAATAGGAGACGTTAAATTACAGAAATTGACATAAAATAACAGATGTTAAATGACAGAAATTGACATAAAATAACGACCATTAAAATAACATAAATTTACTGTAAAAAACAGAAGTTAAATTACAGAAATTTACTGTAAAATAATAAACATTAAATTACAGAAATTACCTTAAAATAATGACCATTAAATTACCAAAAATTACTGTGAAATAACAGATGTTCAAGTACAGAAATTTACTGTGAAACAACAGACGTTAAATTACAGGAATTACTGTAAAATAGCGACCGTTAAATTACAGAAATTTACTGTAAAATAACAGACGTTAAATTACAGAAATGAACGTAAAATAACGACCGTAAAATTACAAAAATTTACTACAAAATAACAGATGTTAAATTACAGAATTTACTGTAAAATAACAACAGTTAAATTACAGAATTTAGTGTAAAATAACAGACTTTAATTTACAGAAATTACTGTAAAGTAACGGCCATTAAAATATAGAAATTAATTTAAAATAACAGACGTTAAATTACTGAAATTTGGCGTAAAGTAACAGACGTTAAATTACTTAA